ACGTGCAAAATCGTAAGTCTTTTGGATGTTACTAGAATAACTAATCGTACTAAGCCTTATTTAAATGGATGAAAGCACAGAATAGATAATCTTTAAAAAACTTTTAATAGATCCCTATTTGGAAATATTTTCGTTTGCTTATTGGGAATCTATTGTTGGCAGCATTAGGAGTCAAAGGTTTGCAGTTAGCGAATGGCTGAGTCCTCAACTAGTTCACAGAATGAGTGCAAGATGTTTGAATAAATTCTGAAATGCGGAATGTAAAATTTTGGCCTTTCAACATATTCGATTTTTAAACAGAAAAAAATGTTGTTTCTTCTCTAGGTATCTAAACGTCATGACGTTGCCATGATCTGCTTTTGGTTCGGCTAAAGTAAACCTTCGGTGTTGATCTTGGTCAAACCAACTGTCAAAGCTTTCACTATGAGAGTAATTTGAATTTTACATTCCATTATAAAATTGTTTGATCTTTCCCAAGAACGCTAACCATACGAAAACAAATATTTTGATCTGACAAATCACCGACAGAGTTCATTCGAGGCTCTTGAAAATGTCGAATTGAACGGAATCAGATCGTATTCAAATCGATATCAAAGTTAAGCAAAGGTTATCGAATGCCTTCTACCAAAAAATAATAGAAATCCTTCGTTGGACTGGGAGTTAAAATTCCAAATTAACTATTGAATATCCAAAACAAGAAATCGTGTAATAGCGGCCCACGACGTGGAGGCCATTGGAAAGGTGGACACAATGCGTGATTAATGATAACAAAGCCAGAGTACGTTCTTGCCACTAATGCTTTCATCAATTTATATAGGTAGCACCACGTGCCCACCTACGTATTGCTTTCAACTTATTAGTTCCAAATCACCCATGGTGACATCGTTATGCTGCATTTGTTACACTAGCCAATGCAACAATGTAAAATGCTACACCTTCAAACCACCCCTGTCAATAAAAAAGAAATGTATTTTGTTGTATCGTTCTCTATTCGCACATGTTTGAGCATGCCCTATGGGAACAGCATCTGTTAATGCTCTACATCAATGAAACAGAACTCAATGTTATACAGCGAACCTACGACACGAGAGTGAACGGGCCCGCGGCAAACGCTAACCAGCCGACGTTACTGTCAATTTTTCAGTTCCAGAGACCTAAATAAAAGAAAGCGTTAAATAAAGACAAACACTGGCGTTGGCTATGGGGAAACTTTCTTACGTCATACTTAGTTAAAAGGTAAAAGAAACAGAGTCGAACCGTGAATTTTTTGACTAGCTAGGAAAATAGACAGTTGTTTATTTTGGTCCCTCTGGTTAAAACCCCTCAGCCATCCGAGTTGGCATGGACGTCAATCGTCGTATTTTTAAGTGGCAATAGCGGCCGCTTTGCTGCCTATGTATCATTCTGGGATGGTCTGTCGTAGTAGTACCTCCCTTACACCCAATAAGTGCGATGTGGAGGTCCTTTGGACTAAATTCGGTAATTAGTATTCCGACTGAGCGAAGCAGTTACAAGAAATTCAAGCCGAATTTTGGATTATGTGAAATATTTCATGAGCTTCACGTTTTACGATAATGGGAAAGAGAGTCTGCCCAAATCCATTGACCTCAACCTCATCTTTGGTCACTCTCTGTCAGGCGAAATTGAAGTATGAATTCCTATGTACACTATTCATATCGTTTAACACGTTAGCAGTTGTACTTTTTCCAGTAAAAGCCAAATGTAATAACATACTATTGTAGTTACGTTTTTCAAAATTACAACATTCATATTATTGATTGAGTCATACGAACCTATATCACCTTGAAGGATGTCCCACAATGATATCCCTAACCTTTTGATTGATGTTTCCAAATTAGGAGCTATGCAGTAAACGTTCCAAGACAAAAGCTAATGATGGATGAAACTGAACGATATTCACAGACGACATTCTCTACCAAGCAAAACATAGTACTAGAAAGTTATAGCAGAACATCCCAAAACATTTGTAACACCATGCAGTCTAGGGCGTTGTACATCGAAAGATGCCACGTGATAAAAATGAAAATAATCCGAACCGAAGAAAACTATTTTTAGAATAGTATCGTTTCTTAGACAGATCATTCGGAGCAATGAAGTTACATTGATATAACTGCGTGTACTGGAAACCGCATGCTACACCATGTAAATATATTAAGAATGCGGCATGTGAAGCATTTTTTTTTTAATAGCACAGTGGGTGGTGTCAACTACTTGAATTTAGTATAAGAATTTGGCTTAACATGCATTCGGTGAAAATGTCGACCCTTATTTCCAGCAGGACCAGGCATTTGCGGACAATAAGCATGATCTAAGAACATGTCCTGATTAGAAGCCTCCACATAATTGGTCCCCACATATATAACGCATTTTCTGGAAAACTAACTACAAATACAATAGCACACGACGGACTTATCTAGCTGTCGATCTTGGCTAGAGATTTAGCGATCACGTGTGCAACGTTGACAGGTCTAATGCCCAGTGTATTCGTATATCTTATTTAGTAATTACGCCCGTCAGATGTTTGCCGTGAGCAAACAAACTGGAAAAATTGAATTACGTTGATTTCTTATTTGACAATAGTATCTTCAATACAGTCTTATCAAGTGAGCTACTATAGGCAAACTTTTTCAATAGAATAGGAAAAAATCATTGACGTGTGAAAATTTTTCTATTCATACAGGTTCGTGTAGTTGGCGTATCCAGCCTTCTTCGTCATAAACTGGATCTAGATGGCTGTTGAATCTAGTAATATGATTGTAGATGTGAAGCCATTTTTTTTAAGTTGCCCGACTAACGTCAAAAGCGAGAAAAAATCGTTCTCGGTCTCTCGGTTGTGACGAGTTCACGACTATTGTATCCATGTCGAATTCAGCAAGGCGGCAAAAGTTGCAAGAGAACGAAAACACAACTTCAATTGAATTCGTCAATAGGACCAGAACTTTGCATGTTTGTGTCGTGCGTACTAAGTGTAGGTATACGGAAGACAAGATGTTTCCCGTCCACATTTTACTTGCACGTTATGGAAGAAAATACGGTGATAGTTCTGCAACGATAAATACGACCAGCTTATGAGCTGACCCCAAATGGTGATGATTTAGAACCACTGTTGGTCAATATGCAGTAGATTGAGTTCTTTATGATCTGTTGTTTCCTATATATCATTATATATATATACTTTTTCATCGATTTAATTTGAATACTATATATATGATATAGAACCGTCTAGGGAAATATTACAGACTCATGGAGTACTGCCCGCTTGTACAAAATTTACCGATTATTAAAAATGGAATAGAGGCATGATCAAAATAAATCTGGCGTTAAAATCTTCCGTTTTTCGTTGAGAGCCAACAGTCTGGGGCCATGCTTGGGACAGCACTGGACGTGAGGCTTGAAAATTTTATTTTATACAAATAAACATTTACTTATTTGAATTTTCCCCTCTTTATTAGGACACATACTAGAAGGGCCATTTTGTTTATGCTCGAAACAATTTTCGCGATGATTTAACAGTCCTATGAGCGTTGAATGATCACATCGTGGGTAGTTACGCATCATGATTCAAACTTGCGTTGATTGTTGTTACACAATGAACCGCACCAAAACGAAGGGTAGATCAGCTCTAGGCCGACCAAATGCTTAGGATGTCTGTACTGCTCCTTGCAGTATAAATTGGTTTGTTAAATTATTTGGTGATTTATGAAGCATATGACGAGTAATATCCTGCACCTGTAAAAGTGCCCGTGTAGCAAGTGAAACAAGCAAAAACTTAACTAGCAAGTACTTCAAAACAGTCACAGCAGACGCTTGGTAACATTTGAAATACGGTTCACGCCGACCAATACAGTTCCACTCGAAATTTAATATCAATAATAAGCGGTAGTTTTAGCGCTAAGGAGGTTTTAATCTATAACTTTTATCACGGCTATTTTCCACCGTCTCACTCACTTTCCTAGAATAGAGTAGAATTACCCTAACTAATGGCCAGCATTGCCCATTAGAGTTTTTGGTTTTCATCTCTGGAAGAGTCTTAAACAGTACATTAGACGATATGGCTGATCTCCAGCTGCACAATTTGTGGTTAGGGCGGCCAGACAGCAACTAAAAGCGTAGATGGGCTCGAAGCAAATTTTGTACGAACAATCTTCTCATAAGTGGGTTAGAGGACAACCCCAATTAGCCCCCACAGTTCTTTCGTTTAGTTGGCATAAGGCAATCGCGAATGGCTTGAAAAACAACTTCGGAATTATTGATAGCTACATATGTACAATAGATATTGTTTCAATTAGAACATTTAGTGCATTGAAGTATGATTCAAACTGCAGTTAGCAGAAAATCATGTCGTGAGTTAAATATTACGACCCCGAACCTGCTTTCATTAATAAGCTTCATTTCATCGACGATAAGGCACAGTAATATCGCTATAACTATCTAAACGCTTTCGACTTAAGTTAGATCAAGTGGGCCGACAGAAATGATGTGTTTAAGAAGCAGACAAATCGACAATGGAAGATCATTTGTAGCGTAAGCTGGATGAGTTATCGAGGCCAACTGTCTGTTGGGTGGCCTACATTTGCTAGCACGCATATCGTCGATTGTTCTGCCAGCCACACCGTTGCGTGTCATTATATACAGAGCGGCTTTAGGTAACACGAGAAGTATTTCTGTCCAATAGTCGGCTAACGGTGGTAAGGGCCTTTTTCATACTAACCTGGTGTACCAACGTTCGCAACTAAACCTGTACAATTATCACAGGTTTAACATGTTGCAAACCCGACATTGTTATCATGATGAGTATTTGAAGTTCAAGGTCTTACTAATCCTCGGCCGGACAACTCTAGCAGCGATGTAGGACGAGATTTTTGATTGAAGCCAGATTAGATGAATACTGCGTTGACCCCCTTACTAGCTAGGAACAAACAGCGAAATCGTCCGTAAAATTGTGATCGAGGATACTACGACGAGTGAAATGCCTCGGAGAAATTACAACTATATAAGGGATGTGACCGAACTTAATGATAGTCTTGCCTTCGTGTGCAGTTGATGGAAACCATGAAAGTGCTCGTCGTGTTCAGTATCCTGGCTATCGGCGTCTACGCGCAGAGAGTTACCTTTAACGAATGTGGTATGTTTTTGCAGAAATATATATATTCGGCTTGAACTCGTTTTCGGTACCAAATATTTTCCATACATTAGATTAGCCGTCTTCGATGGCTTCCGGGCGATGGTCAAATACCTTATCCCTGAAGGCGAAGGTATTTACCCTGAATATATATATATATAAGATAAAAAAGTGGCCTAGATATATATATCTAGGTCACTTCTTGTCTACAATTTTATAAATGCAAAAGCTGTCGTTAAAGTACCGATTATTCGACAGTATCGTGGCGTTGGCCAAAAATGATTAGGCCACTAAAAACACTATCCGAATTCATATTTTCTGTCATTTTTGGAAATGTCACAAGAGATAAAGAACAACCAAAATGGCAACGACAGTTTTTGCAAGAATCGATACTTTATTACTTATGGATTATTCGAATCTGAATGGCAGCGATCTATGGTTACCGATAGTTTTTTTTTTCCGTAATGAGTAATCGCCAATTACTTTATTTCATATATTAGGTTTCAAATCAAGAAAACAATGACCTTTTATGCAATTCGTTTCCACGAAATGTAACGTTTGCATAAGGTGCACCATTGCATTCAGACTGGGCTCCATGCACAATAGATTCGCGCTCACGCTTAGCTAATTCCAAGTATTCGGGGTCTCCGTCAACATTGGCAACTAGGACAGTGTACAAAAGAGACATGAGCGTATTCCAGTAACAGCTGAAAATATCAGAGAAACGAAAAATATTTCGAACTGTTGCAACGTTCACTGCAGGCTCGAACGAGTATTTTACGCTGAAACAAGTGGACCTCAAGGATAAAATTACTTTTCCTTCAATTGTACGCGGCGATGTACATGCGGTGGTCAACAAAGACATCCCAGCCGACGCTACGATTTCATTTCAGGTAAATAAACGGTATCCGTGTTCGACTGCCGCGCGTTTCCGCTTATTTTCCCTAAAGGAAAAATGTCGAGTAAGATAATGTATTATTGTGTAAACAGGGTAGGATAATTGTAACTAAGCGAAACTGGAAGATCTCCTCGTCTAAGGCTACAGAATCAGATGCTAGCTTTCCGCATCCGGCTCAGTTTAAGTTGTTTCTGATATACGTAGTTACATCAGCCAAGTAGGCTAATGTTTTCATGAATTCAATCACGTATCACGTACCTTTTATTTACCATTATCTTTGCTACTAGCACCGTATATAACGTTTGTACTGCGGTGTCACAGGTGTACAAAATCATAAACATCTTTGGTGAGCGTAGAATTAAAATTCCATGCGTCGGAATATACGGTTCATGGTAAGGCTGAATTTCAATTTGCCAACACTTATGCGTCTGTGCCTAATGCTCATAAGAATGCCTTCAGTCGTTTATACGTAAATTCAGCGTAAACGATTTGCTTGGTGAAGAACAGTATACAAAGGAACACAATGAGTTCGACGGCCACTTATAGACATCTCGTATGATATTTCCCTGTGTGCTCCAATTGCAGTGACTATAATCTGTGCAAATTCATCGCGAAAAAAACGGACCCGATCGAGCCACGCTTCGACATTTGCGTGCTATGGCCAGAGGTAACTAACATCATTTCAGGTTGACAGATATTTGCGGGATATAGCTAGGTATTCTACAATTATATGATATCAGTTTGGCCGCTTTAGGGCTTATTTGTGTCAATAAAAAGGTCAGGCCAACTCCGCAACTCTTTCCTGAGTCCATCGATTGCAACGAACACCTCAAATGATTTCTCTCTTAAAAACAAGAGTTTAACATTTCCTATACGGTGTCATCATGTTGTCATGAAGCATAAAACATGTTAGATTTTAGTGAAATTTGACTAGGTGACATGTTGCGAATATCTAGCCCAGGTCGACTTCGTGCAAGAATATATAAACCATTTCTGCTAAAAAGACGCGTATTGTTGTGAGGCTCGATTAAATAGCTAACCGGAGTCGGAGCGATTCTTCAAGGGATACTGGTATACCGAGTTCATTATTTTCTTGATGGTGATGTGGACTTCGGCTAAATACTACGTCTTATTAGGTTGATGTTCTCGCTTATTATTTTCCTCTTCTGATTTTTCGTCTACCGATAGCCAAGTGTTATGATCTAGCGCATAGAGCACTACGGTTTAATCTGTATCTGATGGCATAGGGTATGCAATGCGGGTGTCCAGTCTCCGAAGGAATGGTTTTCAAAAAGCAGAATGCTAAACTGCTCTTCCCTCAACTTTCAACAATCGTCAAGCTTCTGAACAAGGGCAAATACGTACTCAACATTCAGTTAAGGGACGCTCAGCGACAGAGCTTGTACTGCGTCGACTTCAACGTCCATATTGGCTGAAGGGACAATAGGTAGCAGGAAGTGATTACAGGTCAATATTATACATCTATGAAAGAAAATGTATTCGTGATAGCTAGCAAATAAACAGAGTGAAAATGCTTGAAGCGATATCTTCATTATAGATTAAAACAAACTTCGGCAAGAAGACTCTTGGAAATAAAATGCTGAAAACATGCAGTTCCTCTATGTTGAAGTTTTACGTCCGATATCGGCGCTAAGCATCCCATCAGATGGGTGGCTGCGGCGCAAAACAAATTTTATCCGTGCCCTACCATGAGCTACACCATAACGTGTCCTTAACATTACCAGGCAAGTACGTTACCCACTAGGCTGTCATGGGAGCCTGTCGATATGTTTAGAATAGCTAATCATAAAATGTGCTTTATCGTACCGTGGTGCGCGTCATTCCATATTTGGGATATAAGCTGACGGAAGCTTGATCAGGAAACGTAGATTATTGAGCAACTTGTGCCCTTAGAAATAACTTCAGAGGAAGTAAAAGGAGACACACTTGAACTAAATGCTCTCACAGCCACGCTCGAAAACCCTCCATAATGTCTGAACTCTCTACGGATGATTCAATTTCTATATGCCTATGAAGCACAAACAAAAAGAGTTCGTAGAGGTCATACAGAATAATACTTTTTACAGTAACTAATTCAGACGCCGTCAGAGAACTTCGGATCTTTCAGTAAATGCTAATTGCATCGCCTTCACTGTTTGATATCGTTGACACACAACATATGCTTCTCTCCCACGCAATGGGGGAAAGTGGCCGCTATCTGTACCGTTAGCTTCCAGCCGACGCAAAAGATAATCCTCTGCAAATCTTCGCTGGCTAAACAATTTCACGATTTATTATGTCCTATGATTTATAGGATGATCTATTATTATTTACCCTCATAAGTTTAATTCTATTAAAACACACGCTGCATATTTATTATACAATAGAAATCTACAATGTTGATATAAATGTTGTAAAAGATAGGATACTTGTGTTTTAGTGACATACATCAAGTTACGGCTTTGTTGACAAGAACCAATGTCGCGACTTTAGCCAAAATCACTGAAATAGCAGGACAGAAATCGTTTGGGTTGAAATCAGAATGAATTCAGAATAACTGGCTCGTAATATCATTATTATGGTGTATACAATATACCTTAACGTAGCGTACACCGATGGGAGATAAAGCTCCCTAACGCTGCGCGTTAGCCAAGCTCATTTTTGACTCGCTGGAGTCGGTTCGTGTCCGATTGGTAAGCGGAAGCGCATCCCTCTGCATAGTGTGTTTTTACATAGAGATGCGCTTCTTAAATCATCAAATAAAGAAAGCCACCTCCGCTGAACGAAGGCCCGCCTAATCGTACTGCACATCTATGGAACTATCCTGGTTGTCAAGATGACGCACTCTTGCTCAACTCTAAGCTCCATATTAAAGCTATAACACTAAATTGTTTGTACCATGAAACAAGTGAAGTTTGCTTGTTGTTTTATATCTACATTGAATCGTATTTGTCGTTCTTATAACAGTAAATTTTGATAGAGAGCGTTATGTTGTGCTTGTCCGTGGATAGATATCAACTGCGAATTGAAATAAAGCTCTCTATTTTTTTTATTATTAATTTCAAAAGATTATACTTTATAGTCTACAGAGACCTCTTGAAATATTCTTTTCCAAATTGAGTGAAGAAGGAGGCGCATTATAAGAAATCTAGCTGGGGCGAAAAGAGCTCTGCCGACGTTACGGGATACCCAAGGATACAGGACATCAGATACGCGTGACACCGACTGTAAACGTAAAAGCATTCGTCGTCGAAAAAAGTACACGATAGCCAATTGCGCCAATGACAATGAGAGACTGCAATAGAAAACGTAGTTAGAGTGTCGATGTTTTTTTTATACAGATCTATCCCCAGAAGTCAATTAGCAGTAGACTTTTCTTGCATTTAGTTCAAGGCGCAGATGGAACGGCAAGCACACTGAGCACGACGTAACCTATATATCTGCGTATATATTTTATGAAGGAATCAATTTAGTCCTTTGAGAAGCTTGAATTTTGACCATCTAATATTTAGAGATATTAGCCCATACTTAATTTATCACGCGGTACGTGTGGTAAAATCATTGTTGTAGTAGTAGTAATGGTAACTATTGATACAAACAATATTTGCTGATGCAGTACTAAAAGGGATTCTTATAAGATCAGTGTGCATTTAGCATTGGCGAGCACGATGCGTCTGTTCGACCAAAAACGCTTTAAGTGTGCGAAAGAGTACGAGACCGATCGTTTGTGGACTTCCGAACTACGTTCGACATAGCCCACAAAGGCCTACCCTTTTTAATCGAGCCTGAGCGGGAACGCCTTAAAATATGTTTGATCTTTGCAAAAGCATGATGAACGAAGCAACCAAACTCTTTTCTAACAGCCTACAGGTGTTGCCTAAGATGATAATCTCAGTGGACTTTTTCTCTACTGTACTGAACAACTGGCTTAACGAAATTAAGAAGTGTCACCCGCTGGTGAGTTTTTTCTCATAGTTTTGTATACTGTTACCCGAGGTCATCTCTAGCAAGCGTGTACTACTCTCAAACGATACGTACAAATCGAAACCCTGAAGCCCTATGCCGTTGGCCTGGAGCCTGATGTTCGACTCCGCAAAGGACCGCGGCGATCAAGTCCGACCGAAAAAATCCGCTTGCCGCGGCAGGCTCGTCTTGACTTGACCAAAGGGAAATCCTTACATGACAGATGATAGTGACACACAGCAGATGTGGTTTCGGCCGGCAGGTGTCTCTCAGGACGCAGAACATTTCGACAGCAGCGACAATTAGCAATGATGCAAAAGACTGTACTGATCAAATCGGCAGCTCACACCGTCGATGTTGCGGAAAATGCTGCATCCTGTGTTACGAAGTACGTTGCTCATCAATGCCCTCGCCTGGCACGCTTGTAAAAACTGTATAAGGGATCATAACTATTTTGACTCTAATACAACGCCTCTATGATATTTAATTAACGCAGTTAGTTCTATAATGATTGCCTACTCGCCGATAATGAATTCTACTATTGAGCAAGACAATCATCGATGATCCACCCACGACGTCGCTTTCTAGAAGACCATAAACGACATTAAATTCGTACGTGTGTAGAAAAGTCTTCCGACAACGTAAAAAATTAGCTTATGCCTTAACATTTAGGTATTCCTTCAACTTTTCCATTGAATCACAGCGAACAGCAGGATATTCGATTACTTAAATTATTTTTTTTTGTTAGCAAAAATATACATTTCTTCGACAATCCGAATTGGAGCCGCCAATTGAATAACTAAGGCTACTAGTTCGCTCATTTGTAATGCTATCTAAATAGCAGTACAAAATTAACTATAATATCTGTCACAGAACACGCATTCAACTGAACGATTTATATACATACATTTTTTGTTTCTCAATTATTGCTCGAGTATTATAAAAACTAAAATCTTGTAAACAGCAGCGCGTAAAATATTATCATGATGAAAATCCTTCTCTCATTCCTGCCAAGAACATCCTTGCCCCAAGCCTTAGTTGACTTCAGTTTAAAGAGCACAAAGTGAACTTGATGTGATGCTATTTGACAGTGTTCTACAGCACATATCATCTAAATAAGGATTTCTAGCTTGCGAGTCCATTTAAGCATCCCCCAGTGCAGACTTACTAAACCCAAGCATAAATCAAAAGGGTGCATGTTTCAAGCTGCTAGCTGACCTGTCATTAATCGCACCACGTCGGCCTTCAGTTGGCGTCCGAACTCCTCTATTATATGGTACTACCTTGTAGACAAGGTTCCTTTAGGAGCAAATGTAGTTCAAGCCGGAAATTGCGGTACTGTAGTTAGAAGTGACCGTTAGAGGGTCTAGTGTCTATGAGGTCAGAACCGAGGACGTCTATTATTTGCAAGCCGACACTTACGGCGGACACCCACAAACGTAGTACAGTTCATGAGAGAGTTCCGTTTACTGGCTACTTTCTCCCATCCCTTCTAGCAGATGAACCGAGAGTAGGACAGACCAGACTTGAATTGCTTCTTCCATGTGTAGAACGACGCTCGATCAACTTTTTCAAGGATGTTTAACTAACGCCGTTCATGAGCAAGAAACGCTAACCGAGTGAGAGGTCTGTGGCTACCTGGATGCGCCTGCCGGTCCAACGGACCCTAAGTAGGCTTTTCTGTGCTCAAGTCCATAAGTCCTATAACACGTACTCTATTGTGGGAGTCGAAAGTGTCAAATAAAAAAAATGGTGCTATAATAATAATATCAATAGCAAAAACAATAATGATGATAACTAAATACCATTGAGTAATACATCTGACATCTACGAAAAAAGAACATCCCTATTTTAATTTGAAGCATTTATTTAGGATATGACTACTTTGGGGGTCGTACGTACGTCCAGGCTTCCTAACGGGGTGTATTCAACCAATCCAAACTCTCATGTTACTGCAGTGTAGAGAATTTCCTTGGCGATCAATTAGCTCAGCCCGTATGGTGTATCCACCATTTTTAATAAATTTTGGAATCCATCGAAGTTCAGGCAGTTGCAGTACGTGGACCATTTTGCTCTTAAGCCTTAAGCCGCTGCGGATAGGGCAGCTGCATTTACCCTAAACAATCAAGGTTGACACAAGTTAGTGTTAATTTCAAATCACCTTCTATTGAAGATTTAATCCATAACAACGTGTTTTAAACTTAGATTAGACTGGTGAAATGGTACATCTTCACAATTCAACACAGGTTTAGCCATACATGTGGCAATACTTTTTAATATCATGCTTGTACAATAGCATCAGATGCAGACCTTCATATACTGGTCTACATACGAAGTAATTTATTTCATTAATTTTACGTCAGAAACTAACCCGAGGTGCGATAACGTGTTTCGTAACGTGTTTTTTTGAGCTCTCAGCACCGCTCGATGCGATGGATGTTTTTAGATCCGTGAAATTTTCAATATCATTGGATTCGGTGGCTATTCTTGGATACGTAGGTTTTTCGATACCACTCGATGCAATGGTGGTTTTTAAATTCGAGCTGAAGTTTAAAGAATTTCGACTATTTCTAGATGAATCGTGCCTCCGTGCGATCTTTGTGGCAGCCGTGCTGCTTGGGGAAGCCATTAGTCTTGAAGTGGGCGTATCGTCCAAGGCTGGTGTTTGACTTGACGCGTGACTGTGGTTAAAAACTTCCGCTGAGGCGCGACTAGTGAAAATCGTGGGACTCATAGGGGCTGTCATGAAAGTGTTGCGAGCCGTTGCGGTAGTCAGTGGGCTATAAGCAGTTAGACGTGCTCGCGTTGATTGAAGGCCGTAACCATTCCCACTTTTATGGGTTGTCCGGTGTTTTAGGGCTTGCCTAAATTTCGGGGCTGTCCGACCTCGTGGTTTCATCAGCGCGCGGAGAACACGTTTCCTCTATATTATATAAATGTAAACATGTTACAGTACCGTCTAAGGATATTCACGGAGAAAACGATATTAAATGAAATGACGTAAGGCGACTGCGTGTGTGTTTATGGGCACAGGACACGCAAAAGGTACTGCACTCTCGTAATTCTTTTTTGGTATCGTTATGTGATTGACCTCTGGCTTCTTTAGTTTACCTTATACAAAGGATGATTTTTGAAATGTGTATGTAAAAAAATGTATGGCAAAAAAATAAAGCGAAATTAAAACTGGCAGTGGCGTTTCCATAATTATTCTCATTCTATTCTGGGTTATCCTTTCTTGAGCAAAATCTGTTTGTTACGGGTGCAATTAACTTTTGAATATCTACAAAATGTAATGAAACCATAATAGTCGAAATTTATTAAACTATTAAATTAAAAAAAAAACATTATCCAGCAGAAATAGTTGTTACACAGAACGGGCCACTATACCAGAAGCAGAATTTTTACTACTGTGAACACGTAATTGTACCCACCACGGATAGCTACTGTCCGTAGATGATCAACGGGTACCTGTGAACACAGCGTTGGATAAGAGGAGTTTCCAACTCGCTCTAGACGGGAAATGGGGTCATCCAAGTAATGAGAAACAAAGATACTTTATTTTCGCAAATGTAACCAAGTGCCATAGTAAATCGGTATATGCTTTAACTTGAACAAAACTAAAATAAAATAATTGCATAAAGAAGGATAAAGCTCAAAATGCCCAAATACCTGAACCCAAAGCGTGCACATATCGTCTTTGCTGGTCAGAAATTCACAGAGATCATATTTACTGAAACGTAATCACATCACGATATGTTAAATCATATATATGTATGTTTAATAAAGTGGGCTCACAAAAATGTTATGGTGTTTATACAGTAAAAAAACGGAACCCACGTTTCAAGTCGATACATCTTCCGTGATTTGCATCCCTTTAATCAATAAAATTACAAGAATCTAAACCATGTAGAAATAGTATTAGCTGACAGATATATCGACTAGCTATTGCGGAAGTAATTTTAGCTAATTCCGTTTATACTTAGACATTTTAGTTACCCGCTCGCTTTAGAACTTAGCACACTCCTTCTACAAACTATCTTGCGTTTTCTGGGTTGTTTACAATTTAGTTGGATTCAGATATCTATTCAAATCTTCACACATAACAATTGAGCATCCTATACTATCTTCTCAATTCTTTTACTAAAAAACGCAGCTGAAACAGTGCGTGAAATTGAAGAGAAATTCCGAGTATCCGACAATGTTTGCTGAACCTGGTCCTAGAGGTCCGGACTTGCCTCGAATCGCTGCATAGAGCAAATTATTCTATTATATTTATATATATATTATGGCTCTATTATATAAAGTTTTGGTCCAACCACATCAATAGCTCGAAGATGTGGTGAGACCTAAAAACACCACTCTAGAATAGCACTAATGTAAATAACAGTGCATAACTGAATGCAGACCGCTAAACGACCTGGCTTGTCAGACTGAATAGAGAAGTTTACAAACAAGATCCTAGACCGCTATGGGATGGCACAAACAGACAGTGGACGAAATTCTCTCACGCTCTCCGCTTGCTTAATCGATTTAGTGAAGTTACCCACGTACCACGGCTTAGGCAATCTTAATTAGGAGATAGAAATCCGGCAAAGAATTTGTAAATGCCTTCTCCTTTCACCGGGGCATTTATCTGTTGCCAGCGGTGAGCAGCCAAATGAATTATCTAATAAAGGGTGATATCGTTCTCTTCCAGATATGGTCGAAAATATCAAAAATTTTCTAAAAGTAACTTCTATAGTCTGTCTAAATCACTCAAGCAACAGGTGAATATTGAATGGCGAAAAAATAAGGCATTCAATAGAGCCATCCATCCATGCACACTCTTCAGGACACTTTTGCCTCTGCGGTGGGCTTCTTTGCTTACTGTAGAATCAGTTTGTTGCTCGAATGATAAAGGAAGGAAGGCCATAGAAGTCCTAAGAAATTATTTAATAGAGCTTCAGGATAGTAAGGTGAAAAGACATATCACTTTGTGATCGGCCTTAATCGCACAATTCATTGTGAGCTCCCCTGCCGTAAAATGTCCTGTCAAAAGATCGTTTCCACTAAAAACATTACTCAGTATAAAAACAAAAAAACAGTCCAGGAAATAGTGAAAAAGAAACAAACGAGTCTATTAAACGAGCTACTCACCAGGAGCCTTTACCACGCATGCATGGAAGCGGAATATATAGGCCCAATACGTATTTGTGTATCTAAAAACATAGTTCAACACTATTTTAATCGAAGGTAGCTATAGGCGTAAGGTTCGGGCAATCGGTTACTGAAAAAAATGCAACATTTATTTATTTTAACATTCAGTCGACTGTACTAACTATTATTATTTCGTTCTTGCTCTCTATTTCATCGAACTACTTGACTATATGGTCGTCAAGGTGGGACATCATAGACCTATGTTCGTCTTAGGCGTATAAATGTTTAAACAGTATCTGAAAGCAACTGCGACGAAATAGCCATAGTAGTATCGTTCAATTGTAGATCAATAAGCTTTAGCCATTGGCTTTTTTTTGTTGGTTCAACTTATTTCTTCCTTGTTCGAAGCCGTGGCGGAAGCTTATTTCATTATACCGCTAAGTAGCCTAGTTTATTAAAACAGGCCTTTACAGAAAGACTACGGACGATGCTCTAACTGCTTAATGTGTGTACCTTTCAAATGTAGTGGCGATTCGCAGTTACAAAATTAAAAGGCAAGAAGGGAAAAATGGCTCATTACTTTTCCTTAAGACAAGGACTCGACAAAGCAATTTGAGTTGTATCGCAATCTTAAGGCTCACGTCTTTTGTGCATAGGGAAAAGTTTAGCCTAGGCTTCTTTACTCTAGGCAAAATTTTCTCTATAATACATTACGATGAGGGGCAGCCACTATTACTATGAGGAGTTCAGGTTTTAATCACTAATGTTGAAAATTCTGAGTAGCCTTACACGGAACCTGGGCTAAGTCCTTCCTCATTTTACGAAAAACGTAAGCCTTAAGATTGCGGTACAAGCAAAATATACAGGATACAATTTTATGCCTTAGTACGTATTGAAAGTAGAAACGGTATGTTGTATAATAAGCGTTTAATGCATCAAAAGAAAGCTTACGGTAATTGACAACTTTGTACCAGCAGGCATCTCTTTGAGAAATGTCACGTCGACTGCCGCTACCGCAGCTTTGCCGAACTGCATCTTATGCGTGTTCTTTAGCTTGTCAATTCTAACGTGTTTGTTCACCCCTGTAATTGCCAAGGCAACGTATAACATATAATGAAATCGCACACGTTTATATTTCTTTAATTTTCAGTCTATTATTATATGATATATAGTCACCTTAGCCTGCAACGGTAAAATTCGCTCCTTGTCTTTTGTCACTAATGGCTTTCTCAGCGCAACAATTCGTTCCTATAGTATGTTTGAGAGACTAAGATGAATAAAGCATGCAAAAACAGCTAATCGGATGAACCTCTCTCTGATGCAGCAGTGGTATCTGCAATAATGCCATAGCCCGCAATCCGTGTACACCTGTACACCTTTTTTACTTCAAGGCTTTGAAGAGTGCATAACTAGGCTTCTTCACAAAACGGAACGAAGGGCAAACTAAAATACTGTTCTAGCGATTAATCCTGGCAAATTGTGTTTTAAGTACGATATTAGTTTTCCCTTCCATCCTTTTTTGCCCTTAGAAAAAACTAAGGAAGTCAACCTTGACCCTAAAAATTATACTGGGTCCTCTGGAAATGACAAACTCAGATGTTACTATGCCAACTATCGTGGACGCTTATATGAATCCGACCTTTACAGAGATATATTAAAAAATGAAAAAAAATGGATAAGCAATGATAAGTGTATATACAGGAAAAAGTGAGTATGGAGTTGTTTAATGAGATACAAAGTTACAACTAGCAACGTCTGTTTGAAGGCACGTACAGCAACGATAGTGGGTCGCAGTGCTTCGCTAAGCGAATTTACGTTTGATCATTGCATCGTGTATATTTCCTTGTTAAGAGTACTTTAGTAATGATATGGTTCGATCGCTGCACAGCCAACCTGAGCATGTCTGGCCAGAATTGCTTGTCCTGCCTGCCTTAGATGATTCCCACGTTCGAGTTCAGCGTTTGCAAGAAAATTCAATTTCTGCATGGTAAACAAAGTACGGCAAATTGTACCCCTCGCAACCAGTAGAGGGGAGGCGAGCATAGGCATCAGGAAACCGAGGTTTGTACGGTCATGCCTTGCAGCCGCTTTGAAAAAGCACTAAGCGAAATATGACAACTTCGTACTGTTTCTCAGCACCAGTAGCTCTTTGGAGATTTATTATTACTATATAACTAAACAGAAGTGAATAAAGCAAATAAAAAGAAGATTTGCAAAGTCGGGCTCCTTCGCCACAGAGAAGAACGTACCGCATTTTTTATGGGTGAGTGTTGAAAAGAAGACGCCGAAGAAAAAAGCATAAACTAATTTGAGCAGCCACATCTCTTATAGAATATACTCAGAAATGTCGAACAGCCATATACAAATGAACGAATTTATACTAGATAGACTCAAATTATAAACAACATGGGAAATAGTCTTTAAAACATATAAATTCAATCTCACTTGAATTTATTGCCGTATTATAATGCATTCAGTCGACGAATGGATGAATTGAAGTAATCTATGAATGAGAAAATTGTAACGCGGTTTGATTCTCTAGATATATAGATATGTCAATAGGATAATACTTCTTACATTTCTGTTCAGCACAGCCGAGTATGTAATGTAAAGTCCTTACCAGGTCTGTAAGTAAAAACCGTAAGAGTGGCTCGATTCCGTAAGCATAACGAGTAATGCAGAAACTTTTGTGACCACTCAAAATTGGCAGTCGGCGTCGTTGCTAGACGCTATAAGACCTTGAAAGAATCGAAGGTGTTGGACCTACAGGAGGAGTTGAACGCAGAATTTCCTATCATTATGGCACCGTAACAAGGGATTTGGCGGCTGTTTGAAACGCAAATATATCTGCCTCTAAATGAAGCGAGTGTTCGTGGACGTTTGACTCTTGGGTCCCATTGTAGAGTTAGCATTCGTTCGATCCTTGAATTGTATGGGTTTTTGGTTTATTTGAGTCTTAATGAACTATTTTTTTATTTTCGACCTGCTTGATTAAATAAAAAATCGACCGCCTGTTATTTTTTCTGCATAAGGTGTATTTGACCCAACGACGAGTATCGAATTGCTTACATTTCTGCGTAAACTGCGAATAATGAAATATACCTGCATGGACAACGTTTTGTACCATCGTCAGAGAACTGGATAAGTAAATCTACTTTTTTTTTTAAGTTGAGGGCAAATGAAATAAACCTAATCTCCACCCTTGCTTAATTTTTCGATGTATTCGTCAACATAATCCCATAAGCCTTTGAGCCACTTGATTGAACTTCAAAGCCGAAGTTAATATCTTAGTTATTTGATTAAAATGAACTTTTTTCACTTAGAGATATCGCACACTAAAATAAGGAGCCTGCTGCGGATAAATTAAAGATCCAGCTACAACATGTACTAGTCCATCTGATCCACCTTACAAAGAATGTAAGCTTACACGGATCTATTTCGTCTTTATAACCAATCTTTGTGAACTTTTCAACCCACTGTTGATCTCGTTTTGAAATCGGAAAACAATATAACAAACCTACAAACCAGTTGAGTTTTCTATACACTGTGAGGTATGAGGCACGATTACTCAAAACAAACTATAAGCAAAAACAAAGTTCATATACTGCCGTATATAAAAATAAAATCGTGCTCCACTGATTGGCTAATTAAGTAAAGTACTATGATAGTACTCCTCACCTATAACCTCCATAATATCACATTTAACAGACTCGACATTATCAGTTACAAAAAAACATTATAGTATATATATTATAAAACAGAAAGATAGGAACTCGCAAAGGCACATTCAGGACAGATGAATAGGTAAGTCTAAGATACTATGATTGAATCTTGAGATATCGCCAGGGGGCATTTAAGTATCCAGCAGTAGTAATAATAAATGAGCCAGTAAGGACGTGATATCCTCAATACTTGCAGTAATTACTAGTAACATTCCACGTATAAAAACTGCTTAAGCCAAATGTACTTCCGATCGGGTATATGCTGCTGTTGGTACAGAGAAGTTTCAAAAAAAAAAAGAAGCAACGATTTAAACAGTACTGTTATATTTTTGGTTGAGGAGAACTTTTAAAAAGTGAAAGAAGAACAAAGCGTTTTATTATATTAACTTAGGGGAATGAATAAGAGAAAGTCGTCATTTGCAGTATGTTGCCTTTGTTAGGTAGCTACTGATTGATAGACGCATATGAGTGTCTAGCCATCTTAATTTGGCCACACTTGGAGATACATGGCAAGGAAGAACACAACTATTTATACCCCGTACTTTAGGGTTTCCGAACCCAATGCTTTAGTTCATTTTGAATCTTGCATAGGCAGTGTAAACGTGCTCCTTGGGTACGACATGTATGTAAAGGATGTCTATGTTAGTCAATGAAAAAAAACATGCAGTTTGACTATGGCTATTTTTAGTTAGTAGGATGCCCCCAGTGATAGCTGACAGACCTGCTTATTTTGAAGGAGCTAATCGCAGACTGGAGGCAACCATGTTTATGATGCGTGCGTGTGTCTAATAGAAATCAACATTGCGAGCTATCAGTTCGAAAAGAGGCGTAATTTCTGCTAATAGCGTGCGTAAAGTACCATTTGTTTGGACGTCAGAAGGTTTATGTCAAGAATGACAAGCCGGTGACACACGTGATCATGGAGCAGCCCGCGTTTTTCCCCATATCTGTATTTGTCACCCCACACAATGTGTTGTATGGTAAGTAGACACTGCTTCTACGTTCCCAAACGACTGACGCTGGCGCCACACGGATTTATTTACGAGCATTCAGTAAATTGGACTTAATTCAGAAAATCCACAGTACCAACTTAACAGGCCCCAGATTCAATCCTCAGCAAAAGCTCTATTCGGTTTAATCTATCTATCTAGTTATTGTTATCAGTTGACTGTGCATTCACATTGGGCCGCCACAAAGATTATCGCTCTTCTTAGCCATTATATATTCCCACAATTACATAGCTCCCCAGGCTGGCGCGCTGAGAGGTTTCGGCCTGGTCCAGAAAATTTAAGCACTCTCTAATTCGTTCCGATTCAAGAAGGATTATTTAGTCTACCTATTATACATATATGAAACAGTGATACAGAGGATGGGGCAAAATAGATTTACATCGTTACTTTACTATTATGAACATATAAGCTTCCCATTTAAACAAAAAAGTATATTTAGAATTGAAACAGACGGCGCTGCAGTTGTAAACCTAATTCTCTTTACTACCAGGTCCCACATCCCTATACAAATACTGAAAGGTTAATTGTATGATACTTTATCAAAAGTATCATACAATTATCTTGTTATTATTACTTTATTAGTCTTGGGCGTTATGTTTTCATAATCGCCGCTTTATTGCTTTTGATCTCATAATCCGTTTAGGCCTATCTCAGATACTCATTTTCCTACATATCATAAACGCCGACCTTAGCTGAATCAATAACTGAAATCCTTATCGTTCTAATAGACGTGTGATAGCAGCTGGTGATAAACCAAAAGAAAGAAATGATTGGGTAAAAAAATTACACAAATATGAATTTCCACTCACATCATTTACCTATTCATTACCTAGGTCACTCACACAATGGCCTAAGTCAGCGTGCAAACCGCGCTTTCATTCTTAATATATTTCAGATGGATAGTCAATTTTTTTGGCTTGATGCGAACGCTCATCGTATATTGAAATAACAAAGGTTGGACAACCGTTTAAATTTTGGTTACTGAGTGTGAAATAGACCCATTTTCGATAAAGGGTACCTTTATTTTCATGGTTACTAGCAAAAAGATCTCTCTCTCCAAAAACACTAGCTCTACCTTCTATATACAATTTGATAGGTTTCCATAGTAACCTTTCAATATTATTTGAACAGTTGACAGAATCTCGAAATCCATGAGTAATGTTTAAGAAAAAAAAACAAAAGATAAAGACATCTTAATTTAGAAAAAAAATCGTGCACACAAGTATAGTAAACATTTTTTGATTCGAAATATATTATATAGAGCAAGGTTTATCGACAATTTCAACAAAAAAATGGATATTCCTACATTTTTTCATTGCTATATATAGATTGGTGCAGCAAGCGATTATGTTTGCGTTAGAAGAAGTCAAAGTAAAGCAAACGAAGATGTAATATCAAGCGTCGGAAAATTATATTTGCAGACAGAAAATTGGTAAATGTTACCGTTTTTGCCCTTGGCCAAACTTTATTATTTATAAATTTCCTTTGTATGTATTAGACGGCGGCTTGCGTCATATCACCGGCTGGCGAACGTAGCTGGAGCCGTTCCATGGATCCTGGTAAGTAAGTAACACTTTTGTTATCAGTCGGTAACAAACGTTCTTCTATTCAGTGCACGCTATTATAGTATAGAGATTTTGTTGCTAGATAGAATGAAAATGTCATTATTCAAATTAGTTATCATCGTAGATTGTATTTATAGGAATGCCGATAATACACATTCTTAATTGGAAGCGTTAGCGCAGCGTTTCGTCCTGTACAGGGGGGGGGGGGGGGTGCACATGCGTGGCCTACAAATTTGAACAGTACCGAAAACAGCCAGAACACCTTCCGTCTTTGGCTAAGTAAGTTTGACCTATTGAAGCTTTACGCTTTATATGTAAAAAAAGCTCATTTACGTTGTTGAAAATTCTGAGTCTGACGACCGGATTTCAAAGTTTTAATGATTCCTCTTTATACAGGGTTCACTCAGTTGTTTTTTAAGAAGGTATGAGGGAGGCAATGACAGAATTACATACTATTCGGTGAGATGACGGCGACATGTTCATGACGATTTCTAGAAGCATTAGTGCTGAATTATCGGTGGATCTATCGCAGAATAAATTCTCGCATACGCAAACGTACTAGGCCGTGGCTAAAAACTAGTAAAAGTGTTAGGTTCACAATGGAAGCCACCCTACCAAGGTTTATTGGCTGACTTTCTGCCTGTACGATAGGAGGACGAACGTTATCGCCTGCCGCTCCAGAGATTAAAAACAGCTTTCGTTCGAGAAGGCTGCGTGTGCTATGCGTCACAGGAATACTCGGAAAGCCAAAGGAAACCAGACAGCTAAATAGATCATCAGCTCTGAGACGCGAAGTAGCAACTCGTGTAAATGGCCTTGCATTCATAGGTCGCATGCTCTTTCTTACAACAGGGGCAAACAATCTTAGTTCATATAAACAAAAAACTTTGTAAGGTCGTTGTTGTTAGAGGTTAGCAACGGTGGTATTGATATATATATATATATATATAGATATCAGTATGAGTCAATATCATTATTTAGATTTGGTCATATGCTTCTGACAAACAAAAAATTGTGTTGTACTTTATTATCGTTATTTATTACGAT